CTAAAATTTTAGCTGGGGAAGAAGGAGTTAATTGGGGCTGATTAAAGTATATTTCTACTTTTGCAGTCACTTTTGAGAAACCCCACTATTTTTGCTTTGTGTTCCCATTCACATAACATACCTAAGAAATAATTTGGAAAAGTTTTTCATAGCTTTCTAGTTGTTTATTTGGATAAGACTGCAAGCTATTTTGAGCAATTTATTTTTGAAATGTTAAAGTGGAAGGGGCAGAGTGGAGACAGATGCCATTTCCCCTCATTAACATACACTGCAAAACACAAGTCCTGAGATTTTTAACCCTTTGTCAAGACATACAGAGGGGAATTTATCAAACCTGGAACAGACCAAATCTGAAGCAGCTGTGCACAACAACCAATCAGCCTCTTTCTTTCATTTTCAATTAGTCCTTCCAGGTCACAGCCAAATGTTGTTTAGGAAGGTAATTGCCAACCATAGCCATACAGTAACCTACCTGATCCTATGAATGAGTAAACTTGGGCTTGTAAAGGGCAGGATCCACCGAAGAGGAGCCAAGATTACAATATCCTACATAGGGGAAATGTACAATCTTATAAGAGTGTTCTGTCTGTTGACCTTCCAGGAAGGTCCAGAAATATTAACGATAGATGCTTCCTTGCAAGAAGGTAGGAGCCATGCTCATGAGAAGGACCCTTACTGTGGGGAACATCAAATGCAGGGATCTAAAAACTGTTTATAAAAGTAGACTCAAGGAGTGTGTGAGGATTTTTCTATTGGGAAAATTCTCCCAGGATGAAGGAAGGGAAAATCCAGCAAAATTATTAGGACGTCTTTGAGAAAAGCACCAGGAAGGAAATACAGCCCAAATTTCTGATTTCACTAATGTTGAAAGAGAATTGCAAGGGATAGAAGGATAACATGAGAAGTGTAACTATGGGCATAGTAGTTCCCAGATTATCCCAGAGATCCCCTAAAGAGGGAAATTGTAAAGTAAATGATGCACTCAAGGACAGTAGAATCTTCTTTCCAGGAACTGAAAGTTAAGGACACTGACTCTTTTTTTTTTTTTTTTTTTTTCCAGCGAATGTGTCTATTGCATTCCACGATGGGTAAGCAAGAAAACAAGGGGCACTGTTAGGCATATTAGGCTAAGCC